TATTAAGATTTTAATTTTTATATTTCATTAGATTTTTATTTAATATTTTTTTCTGTGTAATTTATTTAGATCATTATCATCATGGCTGAGAGCATGTTGGTATGTAGGTAGACATGGCAGTGGAGGAGTAGCTGAAATTTCTATATTTTGAAGGCAACAGGAGGTTGACTGAGACATTGGGCAGTATACTGATTATGGGAAACCTCACAGCCTGTCCTCACAGTGATACACTCCCTTCAACAAGGTTATTCTCACTCCAACACACATATCCTTCCTAATAGTAACAATCCTTATGATATTATTGGGTAAAATTTCATTTTACATACCATATTCCACTTATTGGTCCTCATAAGTTTGTAATAATATCATGACCCAAAGTGAATTTACTCCAAAATCCCCATAGTCTATCACAGTCTCAGCAATGTTTAAAAGTCCAAAATTCAAAGTCTCTTCTGTTATTCATGCATTCTCTTAACTGTAATCCCCTGTGAAGTAAAAATAAGCTAAAATCATATAATTCCAACATATAATGGCACAAGCTATGTGCTATCATTCCAAACACAGGAAAGAATGCAAAGTGAGAAAACAATGGACAAAAGCAAGACTGAAAACCAATTGGGCAAACTCCAAGCTCTGAATCTCCATGTATGATGTCAAAACAATCCTCAGATCTCTAACTCTTTTCAGTTTTGTTGACTGCAACACATTTCTTTCTCTTGGGCTGGTTCCACTCTCTGTTAGCAGCTTTCCTTGGCAAGCATTCTACAATTCTGGCATCTCTGACTTCTTGGGTTCTCCATGACAATACAGGCTTTAACTTCACAGCTTTACTCAATGGCCTCTCTACTAGGTCTCCATTCAGGGATACCACTAACACATGACTGGCCTCAGTGTTTTTCTTTAGGCACAGAGGCAAATTCCGTAATCCAGTTCTTCTATTCTTAACTCTAAAGCCAGAACTAATTGACTGAAGCTGCCAAATTGTGTTGCTTACTGTGGCTGGAACATGGCCCCCTTGTTCATTTACATCTTCGACAGCTTTCTGTCCTTCACTGCCTATGCTTGGCTGTCTTGAAACTGGATATATAGACCAGGCTGGCTTCAAATTCAAAAAACTGCTAGACCTTCCAGGGTCTAGGATTACAGTTCTTTACTACCACACCTTGCTCTAAACTTTCTTTTAGTTCCTTTGAAATAGTTGGAAATTTACAAATTATGGGTAGACAGTGAACCCTGGAAGAGGGAATTTAGTATTTTTTTAGGAGAGGTTAACAACAATTATCACAAAAGCAAGATAATTCAACTTATAAGAAGAACTAACTGGACCCTCCCTCGAATTGTATGGGAAACACCAATAACTG